ATATATATATATATATATATATATATATATATATATATATATATATATATATATATATATATCTGAAAAGTGTGGCTTGTTTTGTGTTTCCACAGAACAAGCTCAATATTGGAGCAGCTTAGGTGCAGTTATGGCTGGACGTCTAGAAACATGATTTTATGTTTCATGCCTCTTTGCTGGAGATGCTCAGCTGCATTTAAATGTTTAGATGTAGGCCACTTTATCACATTAATATGCTCTGATTTAAACAATGTGGTTAGCATGTTTTTAGCAGCATCTTTCATTTAATAAACTCTGACTAGATTCTATCATATTTTATTTACAGCTGATGGAAAAATTATATTTTACATTAAAATATGACATCAGATCAGTAAAATATTTGGATACAAAAATGCAGGCTTAATAAAAACATGTTTCATACTTGCTTAAAGGTTGTGTTTTATATGTATATATATATATATATATATATATATATTCATACCTGCTCCATGGTGAAGCATGGTGGTGACAGTGGGGCAAAAATATTTAAAAAATACTTTATTTATTCTCAAGAAAACATGAAGATCTCATACCATGCAAGTATCTTCAAAGTTGCTGGGAAGGATCTCCAATAGCAGTCAGTTTCACAACGAATCAGAGTAAGCTTCTGACCGAAGACTGCTATGAAACGCTAGCAGCTCAGTAGAAATGTCCTGGATGATCCCACCTCTGCTAATCCACCTCATTTGCTTTTGATACAGCTCTTTAAATCTCTTCCTGCAAATGCAAGAGTTATGAAAATACTTCAAAGCTTTATTGTTAAATGATAACTAGCTGTAGAGCTCTCGGTGCATCAGGACAGTGTAGATACACTGAGTACATTTCGATGCTGACACAGATCTCATGATGTGAGCTGAGCTGACAGGAAACGGCTGACATGAGAGCCTGCTGAGGTTCAGGTGAATCCTTGGATGATTCATGACAAAGCAACAAAGCTACAACCCAGTGGGAAAATGAAATGACTGAAGAATCATTTTCTATTTACAGTAGATGTAAACATTTGATGACTGAGCCCAGGCATCACTGATGTAACCGGCTGCAACTCCCAAAGTTTTAAGCTGTGTTCCCGTTTTTTCTTCTGGATTCTTACAGTTCATGTAGCAGAATGACCAAAGCATCACAAACATAAAGCTGGATGAATGGAGACTGAATGAAAGCTTCAAAAAGTGAATCCAGTTTTTTACCTGGCGCTGCAGCAGCAGCAGCTCCTGCATTTTAGATTTTCTGCTGATT